TGTGCTCGCTGTTGTCCGTCGGGGGATCTGCACTAGCGGGGCTGCCTACCCGCACTAGCATCCCATCCTCGTCGCCAATTGTTAAGTCGTGTGCTTAACAAAGAGTCGGAGAGTGATTCAGCAAGAATGCGGCTTTTATTTTTCAGCTTTGTTACTTCTCCAACACGGATCAACATCAGTCAGCCAGGACAGCTTTAACACAGAAGCTGGCCTGCTTTTAAACCTTCCCGGCTAATGTAGCCACTCCCACTGTACAAATAACAACCTATCAGGTTGAACGGATAATGACCAATCACAAGCGCTCCCGCTCCGTAAGGTGATTGGATGACACAACCTGGGCTAGTGCTCCTATTGGTTACATTAGGATCCTAGCCCAGGCCGAAGCTTAACATTGCACTTCAATGAGATGTTTCACATACATCAAGTCCTATACAGATCATGCATTCAAAGTCCATCTGAATACATAACAGAAACCGTCAAATATTTTACTATCTGAAACAAATTGTGCAACATTATTTTGGTTCAAAGTATTATTTTTAGAAGGATAATATAATATATGTTGATGTATTGAATTTGCTTATTATTAAATCAGTAACCCATAAATGTTCAGGCATGTACATGCTAGTGAGGTTCTACTGTTCTAGAAATCATATTTGTGTTCTTGTGGGACTATATTTAACATGAAATCTGCCATTCCATGAAGTCTGTTTTCTTTATTTTTTTTAATGAGGTGAAATATGTAAAGCTCACATTCCTGTAGCCATTGATCCTGTGGTTTGACTTTCTGTTTCGTTTTCATAGTAACACAGATTGTCTTGATATTATAGTATGAAAGAACTAGACAATTATAATTGCCTCATCAAGACAGGCACTGAGAGGCAATGGTCTCTTGTAGTTTAAAAGTACCCCATTGGAGAGAATTAACTTGCAGATTTTCAGCACTTTCAGGTATCCTTAAAGAGAGGGTTTAAAAAAAAACAACATTAGAAAAGCATGTTTTTGTAATGTGCAAAATAGATGGCCAAAGGAAGCCATTGTTAAACAGGCATGTGCTTGCATATTTAGTTGAATTTTAAGAGGAATTTTAAATTAGAATTCTGCTGTGAATATATGCAGTGGATGAAATCCCAGTTCCAGTTAAATTCCAGCCTGCACTGGAACCAGGATTTTATGTGATGAAGTCAGGGTATTTTCTTTTTTAAAAATAACCAGTGACCAATTTATAGCTAGACTAACATCTTTTACTGGTCCTAAGAATGCATCACTTATTAGGTCCAAAAACATAGAGAGATTTTAGACAGAATCCAGAGGAAGCTAAGCACTTAAGGCTGCCTATGCATTCTTACTTCAGAGTAAGAACAACTGAACTGAACTGTACTTCCAGATACACATGCATGTGGTTGGGGGGCAAATCTCATTGATTTAAATGGAATTTTGACGTGCTTGACTTTCTCCAGATTATACCACTTGTCTCATCCTATTCACAGTTTACACTGAACACATGCACAATTCCTGTATGGTATACACTTGATAGTTCTTTGTATGCGGGTTGAGTAATTCTCATGTTGCAGTCAATGCATGTACAGCTGAATTTGGTACAAAATCCACATTTAACAAAGTACTGGTCCCTGGTTTCATTCATAAAGTTAACGCATGTTGGCTCTTTCTTCCAAACAAACATACACATGTCCAAGCAGGATGTATGTGTATTCACTGTAACATGTGAACAGGGCTTCTGTGTTATGGTTGGTGTAGGATTTGAATGAATTTTAATCATTCTCTTAATTACTGGAATGAGGGACAGACTAGAAAGGATGGTAGTTGATTTGTATGTTTAAATTTGGGTAAGCAGTGAAATAAGCATGTAGAAACTTGGGCTGGATTTTAAAAGCAAAAATGACATGTGGGTGAAGGGCACTGAACCCTCCTCCACTTTTGCTGTATCCCTCTTTATCTTCTCCATACCCCAGCACCATTCTTACAGTTGTTTTCACTGTTGGTATCAGAACTTGGCTGGGAGAGATGTGTGTGGAGAAACTGGCTCTGGGGAGACAGCAGCAGGTAGGAGGGTTTAGCACTCTCTACATGTGCAATGCATTTATTGTCAAAATAGGATGCGTGTCTCCTCCTTCCCTTCTGTCTCTTTCTTTCCCTCTTTCATTCTCTTTTTATCCCCCTTTCCTTCCTTCCTTCTCTCCTTCTCTTTCTTTCCCTCTTTCCTTCCTTCTTTCCTTGTCTCTACTCTCTCTCTTTCCTTCCCTCTTTCCTCCTTCTGTGGCCCAACTCTAGTGAGAAGGGGCTTAAACTTTAAACCCATTCTCCCCCACCCCCGCAGGCCAGCTGGGGAAGGGAAGGGGAGGCTTTTGAAGATGCCTCCCCCCCTTTGCTTCCCCTTCTGACATCACTTCCGGTGATGTCAGGGGGCATGGCATATGCTAATAGCCTAGTAGCTCATTAGCATACCATATGGTAATGAGCTCCTGCAGCTCTTTTTCTAGGAAAAGACTCCTGCTTATGACTATTCTGATGGTGTAATACCATGGTAATCATGTACTCCAAGGTAACACATTTGTGCAGCCCTCCATTTTTATAGCAGAACATACTCAGAAGCTTGTGATGGGAAGTGATATTCATCCATTTTGATGTACCAAAATTCCTGTTGCTACCTTGATTTGCCATGGGATGGACATTGTTGAAGACTAGCTTCCCCTTTTCCCACCTTCTTTTCTATTTTTTCCCATCTTCTTTTCTATTTAAATTTCATGTGAACCATTATTTATTTCAGTCAGTCAGTGGCTTTGCCTTGTGCTACTGAATCATCGCTGACAGCAAATTAATGACTAGGACGGTGTGATTAGTAGAGATTACAGGCTACCGAGAACCTACCTGATCATTTACCACTGTCATAATACTTATGCTGGCCATTATTAGGGATTAATAATGGTGATAAAGAGGACATGCTGCTACTGTACTAAGCTCTCTATGTGAAATCTGGCTGCATTTTTAATATATAATTGATATACTGATTACACAGCAAAAATAACAAAAATATAAAAATGTTTTTCTAAAAGCTTTCTCACATAAAAGGATACGTGTATAAATGTACAACCAATTACACAATAAATGAACTGAAGTTAGTGCTTTCATGAGTTTTGTAGCTTTTTCTTGGTCTTTGTGAGGCAGGCTGGGTGGGGTGGGGAATCCATTTTCTTAGCAATCCCTAATGATTTATTCAAACAGTTCAAATAAAACTTTATCCTGGATAAGCTTTAGTGAGCCAATGTTATTTCATTTTTCTTTCTCATTTGGGAAGAACTATAGGCTTCTGCAGTCTTCTAAAGAATGTTTTGTAAGAACAGGATGTAAGTATCATTAAAGAGATCCATTTACCTATTTATCAAGTCTCTGCCAGTGTGTTTAGTTTCTAAATATCAAGCAAGGTTTCATTACAAATTTTGAAAGGAGACCAAATAGGAGGAAGATAAACTGCCTTTTTTCCTCATTCCAAGAGCTATTGAATGAAACCTACTTAATGACAAATAAAAAAAATCCTATTTGCAGTTTAATTCCATACAAAGCATGAACATATTATAGCCATAAAAGGGCACACTTGCTCTTTTGCCACTGTTTAAAATAAAGTTAAAAATCTAATGACTGTCAAATAAAGGGAAGCTTTGGATACTGAAATGAAAATCTAACAAAGGAACACCATTTCTAAAACTGAACTATTATTTGGGAGAAAAAAATGATACATCACAGCTTTTTAATAGCTTGTACAGATACTTTAAGGCATAATAAATACACAAGAAACAGATACAGCATCACATATGATTTGTTCTCATTGTACTATGTTCTGGAAGCATCACATAAAAGAACTAAACAAAACCCTTCTTATTTTGAAGCTTGAGCCTTGATCTGTCAAGAACCCAGTCTATGCCTTCACAAGATCCAGTTATAATGCAACACAAAACTGCATAATGTTTCTGCTTTTTCACCCTTGAGAATTAACAATTAAAATTTCTAATGCAGTTACACTAACCCATTCTTTAAAACTGGCTGAACGTTTCCACTTCAGAACTATAGTGAAAATTTAAAACCAAACACTCATGACCATATTCTACTTCATTTCTATACAATTCAGCCCTGGAAAAGTGTGAGGTATTTCACAAGAATGATAGGAAGTTTAGTATTTTTCTTTTTAAAAAGATTGTTCTAATTATTATATTTCTCAAAGGCTTTTGATATTAGCTGTGATAATACATGCATATGGGTATGTAGTGGGGTGGGCAACATTGTCTTACCTCACACTCAAAGTCCTCTGTTCTGTCTGCATCAGTGGGCAGGCTGGAAAGATACTCATTACCTTCATAAAATTCATGCTCCACTGGTTGAAGAGAATGGCAGCTATGTGAAATAAAGCAGAACAAGAAGAGTAGGTTAGGCATTTTATTCCAGTTTTTCAAATTAAAAAGTATTTTAGAAACTTGTTGCATTACATATTTAAAATACAGAGTGCTATTTCAGAGAATTATTTCAGAGATCTGAAGATTTTTGCTACTATCTGTAAAAATGCATAAAAATAGTGATCACAGACCCTATCCACATGTGCCGGAACACGCAGGGGGGAGGCGTGGCTATTTGCGCCATTGCATTCTGATCCGCCATTATGTGATCAGATGCGACAGCGGCACACCGGGGTTTCATCCTTCAACGCGCGTTGCAAAGAGGATGGCTGGAGGGAATAGGCGCGCGCCGGCGCAATCACACCAAACAAGTCCGTCTGCAGCCTGTGGCAAACCATTTGCTAGTAGATCTTTGCAGATACTTTTTAACTGTGCATCTTTGGCGGCACACCATGGGTTGGCCATGGGTGCACTACACTTCCCAGATGTTGTGGTGTGATCGCACCCTGAAAATCCACCCAGCATTCGTGCCTTTCACGCGGCAAATTCTCCATGTGACCGGGGCCATAATTTTGCTGACCCACAGAAAGTGCCTATCCAAGACATTTTTATTATTCTGTAATCTTGAACAGAACTTTTTTTTGTTGGACCACTGGAATTTACCCCAGAACAAATTCAGAAGTGAATTTGTAATTGTACCTGTGATGAAATCATGAAGCAATGGACTGATGAAAGTCAACAGGGGTCTGATGAATTATGAAATGTTTCAGGGACATTGGAAGGGAAACAGCACTGCCCAGGTCTTTAGACCTCTAGCATCTGTCATTACCATGCCATCTCAACTGTGGAGGTAATTTAGAATGCATTATCTATAGTTCCTGAAGCTCTCTCAAGCGTTTCCATACATAATAGATTCTGTGGCCTGTATCCTATCACTCCTCTCAGCAAAGTCTGAAGCCTTTTCCAATATAAGGAATTTCCCCCTAACTAAAATGGCTCTTCTGCCAGAAGTAGGATCAAGACCTATATGTTCTACTACTTCAAGTTGCTGGGAATCTGAAGTGTAGGACAGTTCAGAGGAAATCCAGATGAAAGAAGAGGATCAGCAACATTTCCCACAGTTGAAGGGAATTTTGCAAATCTGTGGCTGTGGTCACATATGGAAGAAATCAGTGGCTGTGGTCACACATGGAAGAAAATGTGGGCGGGAAGCGAGGCAGTTTGCCCTGGGCTGAAATGATGCACATTTGCACGATCACACATCTGGCCGCGCCCCCCGCAGTTCTGGATAGTAGAAGGTTTTACTCAGTGGCTTTTTGCCATGCTCCTGTGGCGCAATACGACGCCCCACCGATGACTCTGGGAGGCTGGACAGTTCTGTCTGTCTGATCGCGCCCCTTTACTCCGTGGGGAAATCGCACCATTGCCGCTGCTTTTGGTACGTATGATCGCACCCAGTGTCTAGTTACTTTGTTATTTGAAATTCCTTTGGCAAACAAGTCACAAACATTGTTATGTTTTGCTCCTAATACCAATCTCCTAATGTCAATATTGTTCCTTATTCCAGTGTAACAGCTCCATTTACACAGTCGGTATTGTCCCTCTGGGAAAAGTAAGACAAATGTAGGGGTACCCATATAGCATTTTGATTAAGAAAATGGTGAGGAGGAAAAGGTTTAAACATCCTTAAACAGTAATGGTTGTAGTGTAAAGTAAAGGATGTAGTAGTTAAGTCCGTGGACTCTAATCTTGGAGAACTGGGTTTGATTCCCCACTCCTCAACTCGCAGCTGCTGGGTGACCTTGGGCAAGCCATAGTTCTGGAACAGCTGTTCTTGGAAAAAAACAGTTTCTGTCAGAGCTCTCTCAGCCCCACCTACCTCTCAGGGTGTCTCTTGTGCGGAGGGGAAGGGAATGGAAAGGAAAGGAGATTGTAAGCCACTCTGAGACTCCTTTGGGTAGTGAAGGGCGGGGTATAAATCCAGTCTCTTTTTCTTCTTCTTAAACACCCCTTCCCCGGTACAAGCAAAAAAGAAGATCCTGATCATGGATATCTTGTATTGTTGTGATACTATCATGCCCCATTTGTCAGCTCAGTAGGGAAAAAAAGTCATACCTGTCCGAAAGCAGAAAAGGACATATGTCTGGTACTGGAGGTGTGGTTGGCCTTAGCTTGGCCAGAGCCATAATATGCTCAAAGGTAATATCTGTCTGTGTACTAGCATCCATGAGCTGAACATCCTGTGAACTCCCATGTGCTTTAATGAGTGGTGCTCTCCGTAGAACTTGGACTACAATGGGTTCCTTCGCATTACGAAAAGCCTCCACTGCTTCCTCATGAGTAGCTTTGGAGAGATCTCTTCCATTAACCTTGGAAGGAAAAAAGACACTTTATAGGTTAAAATTATGAGAAGTGTAGAACACTGAAATCAAAAGTTATTCATAACATTTATCAGATATTTTAACATAAGTCTTCTGTGGTGTCAAAGAAAAGGGGAAGAAAAGTGACAGGTGGAAAAAGATTCGATGTTATGACATTTCCAGAACATATAAAATGGCTCTGAAATTAGAAAAAAAAAGCAAAATAAATAATAGGACAAGTTTGTTCTATCAGTCTTTTAGAACACACAGGGAAAAGAGATTTAAACATTACAAAGAATATAAGGGACTTTAATTTCAATGATAAAATTACATGGGATATCTGTTTTAAACTTGTGCACCAATTTAGCCCCCCCCCCCCGGTTTCCTTTCACAGAATTCTGCCATAATCTGAACTTTGCTTTGGTTCTCATTCTCTGGAATGGGCTCCTGGAAGAGGTCAGGTGGGACTCTGCTCTAGACCATTGTTGGAAACTGTATAAAGTGGCGTTTAAAATGACCTTTGCTAGTGAGTGATGTTTGGTGTTACTATCTAGCTTGAGCATGAGCTGTATATTACTGTTGATGGTGTTTGTGTTTTGAATTGTTATAGTGCAGGTGAATACTGGTTTTAGTAAACCAGCTTGGGCACCATTAATAGTAGGAAAGGCAGGATATAAATATTTTAAGAAGTAAAAGCAAATGTAAATGCAGCAATGACAGATAGAAAAGAAAAAAAGATATATAAAGCTAATCTATCTAAAAAGCAAAATTTGAAACATCATATATCGAATGCTGAACCTAGACCTTGGCATGCAGATCAAAAAAAAAGCTGGGGCCAGACTCAGACTGTGGCCATGGTTGTACAGACCTGGGTCAGGCCCAGGTTTAACAAAAACCTAAAAAAGATTGGTTGGTTTTTTTTAAAAATTAAACATACAGAGAAAATACTACTATGTCATGAGATCTCAGCCACCATTTTGAAGGTTGCTTACAAATACTATAAATGCCCAAACCAGCCCAAGTGCTGTAAGACAGTTCTATGGCTAGTAGGAAGATAATGGAAAAGGAGCAGCCTTCAGCCACCATGTGAGCTAGGTAGGCAGCAGTGATGTACGTAGGAAGACAGATAGGGGAAGCAGTGAGAGCTGCTGCTGCCGTCTACCAGTATAATACTACAGAAGCCAGGGAATTGGAGGCAACACTGTTGCAGGCAGACAGGGGGAAGTGGGAGCCATGGCTGCTCCCCTGATGCCACCACCCCACTACCACATGAGACAAGCGGGTGGATGAGCTGCAGGGAGGCATGGGTGGGGTGCTGCCACCACCACCCCTGCCACCACACGAGCTAGGCAGGTGGAAGTTCTGCAAATACGCAGGGTGGCTGATGAGTGGGCAGCCTGGTGAGTGAGAAGAGGGTGAATAAGGATGGGATTGCACACACACCCCACAACTACTAGTCTCACAAGTCTTCTGCTTAACTTTCATATTATTCCTGCATGTTGCAAAAGTACAATATGTCAGAAAGCAGTCTGTGATCTGACCCCCAAATAGCATAAAACTCTGTCACTGCTGTGCTAACGCTAGATAAAAGACTAAGGGTTGCAATTTCCAAAGACAGTAGTACTTTGGCATCTGAAGGGTGATACCCTAGCCTCAGTCCAGTTTAACTTGGTGGCCATGGCCAGTTTCCACCAATAAAATGAATCTGATTTAGCCCACCTGGAAGCCAAATAAATATTTTCATTTTCCATGAACTGCATTGGTAAGCTGACTATATTTTTAAAGAAGTAATGTTGCATCATCCCAGATGTTCCTATCTTCAACAGTCACACAAATTACCTAATTATATATACAGTCATTAAAATGCAGCTTATATATGGTTACATGAAATAATGTATTGCCTTTCACAATTAGATTGGTGGTTCCCAAAGCCATCCTTCATAATTTTTTTAAAGTGTAAAAATTCCTATGACCTTTAGAATACTTTCATACTTGTGATTTCCTTGTAATAGGTAAGCACCTAGGATCCAAGCTCTCTATTCTTAATCATTTTTTGAAGTTCGTCAACTGATTAGGTTATCCTGACTGAAGGTCACCAATATTCCAAATCATGCCTGTTGCTATAAAAACATGATATGGCTTAGCTACACTATAACAGCAGCCAAGAGAGTTCACTCTTTTCCCCACAAAACCCTGAATATGCATTTTAAAACCTTAAGATTTAAACAAAAACTTCTTTAACTTTATGGAGTTATCAGCATTCTTGCTGAACTTTGTATTACTTTGGTTCTGAGAATGAAACATAACCAACAACTTATCTGTTAGCAAATGTCACCACAAGTGTTGTTCCTACCTCAACCACTTGAAACTAGAGCCATGCAGGCATATCATCTCATATCCACAGCAATGCTCTGCAACTGATTTCAGTATCTTAAAACAGCACTGATCTAGATGCTTCTTGCAATAGCATCCTTTGTTAGTGCACTTTGGAGGTAAGTTGTCCAGTCTCTACAAGTAAAGTTCTATATTGAGAGGAGATTGCATTTCAAAGTCAGGAGGCAGGAACGTAAGTAAAATCTCTTAGCTGTAGCTAAAAAGACCAGAGTCCTCCAGCCAGTTCAATGTTATAGATGAATCTCTCACTCACAGTGCTCAGTTCTAGTTCAGAAGAGAGATGTCTGGTGGCTTCCGGTCGGGTTAAGATGGCGAATTAAAGCACTTTGCGATTATGCGAGGTGGACCATAGCTCCTTTTGACAGATTGGGCTTTGTTATGCCCAACGCAGCAGCCCCCAGGCAAGGGGTCTGACTAGTATGCAATTTTGTCTCAGTGGGGGTTGAGATTGGCAGGCTACAAGCCCCGGAGGGGACTCATCGCCGGCTTTGATCCCCCCCTCACGAAGAAAGGCGTTTGCAATTCATCACTCAAGGAGCTATTCCGGCTGGATTACCATCTTAAATCCATCGTCTCCCGGCTTCTTAACATCAAAGGAACAAGGAAAGCTGAAAAGAAGCAGTGCGATCACCCGAGATAAGTGGGAAAGGTAACAAAGGCTTTAAACTTACCGTTTTGAAGAGGAAAAGGAATTTGTAACAAGCGGTTAAGTGCAAATGAACTTTTTGAAAGCAACGGATCCATTCTGTGTAGAAAAAGATTTTCCAATGCAGAGAAAATAGCTGACAAAGAGACTTAGTTTAACATTCCTGTGGTTAAAGTGAAATTGAAGTGCGCAGAGAGAGGAAGCTGTTATTTCGTGACTGTGTGTTACATTGAAAGGTTCCCGTGTGGATTTACAAAGAGATAAGACAAGAGGAGGCTAGAGAGCAGCCTGGAGGACTGAGTTAAAACCAGAAGGAGATTGACTGCGGAAAAAGGTTGCACGAATGACTGTTAAGCTGGACGGACAGGAAATAAGAAGGAGGAAGTTATAAATTGACCTACTTTAGCCAGAAAATCATAGAAAACTTGCGCCCGATATTTTGAGGAGGACTTAAATTTAATTTTGTTTTTAAAGCCGTTTTTGATCTATTTGGACATGTGAAAAATAGCCTAGCTGTATAAGAAGCGTAAGATAAGTGGAACTGGCTTAAAAGTAGAGCCCGAAAGGGCCAATCTGAAGAGTTCAAAACGGAACCCAGAAGCAGGCTGAGAGCGGCATCAGTGACCAGTCCAGCTATGGCAAGTAGAAAAGACAAGAAGGAATGGCAGACGGCGATGGAGGCAATGGAGAAGAGGATGATGGAGGCAATAAAAGCATTGGGAACACAGCTTGACAAACAAATGGATAAGCACATGAAAGTACATTTGGAGCAGTTGGAAGAAGTACAAGAGAAGAATATTACAGCAATCAAGGAATTGGTTGTAGCAGAATTAGTGGAAGTTAAAAAGGATATGGTCGAGGTGAAAAAAGAACTGCAAGGCTTGGCTAATAAGGCAACTGATATGGAACAAGAGACAAAAAATTTAGAAAAAAAAATGGAAACAGAGAATAAAAGACTGGAATCCATGATGGAATAC